TTGGCTGCAGTTCTGATGGGGATGCAGCAGAGGGTGCACATGAGCTAGAACTCAATGAATGGACCTAAAATCAGCTCAGTTTAGAAGAAAAAGCCCACATTTGATTTTTAGCTGTCTTAAGTACAGAATTCTAATAATGCTCAAGGTGCTGTGACATCCCAATTATTGCCTGATTCAGTGCTGGACTAGTATTTGTAGTTGTTTAGACCTGTGAAAAGGTAAACATGCCCTGTATCAATAGATTGTAGAATAACAAAATTCACAAGAGTTCCCACCCTCTAGAGTTGGAAGTCACCATAATCTGACACCACCGCCAACAACAGTCAATACACAAGAGTAACTTACGAAACATTACTCTAGAAGCTGATCTGAGGTCAGTTTGCTGGGACATCCACTCCTGGGATGAATGTGTGTCAACACACAGCTGAATAGTCCAAACCAAACCATCAAAACAAAACTGCTTTCACAGAGGTGCTCACACTTGCTCACGTTTAATTCATCAAGTGCATTTGATTAGAAGGACCTGGCTGCTACTTACCCACTTAATTTCCATGGAAACAGAAAGGCTGTTCTTAGTTTCACATAGAGATATATAAGCAATTCTGTGTGACTGTGTGTTTTGCATGTATCCTTGTGCATCTTTGTTTTCCCTGTTGTTGACGATAGACTTTTTAATACTTTATAGGCAAAGAAAAACAATAGGAAAAAAGAAACAAACTCTTCCTCTAATGCCCCTGTATTGCTATGCATCTGTGATGTGCAGTGTATTCTTGGACTAACTTTCTGATAAATGTCCTCTGATGGCCACTGTCACATGCTGAGAACAGCCTGTAGTTTATTTGTTGAACAGAGAAGCCTGGTATGAGGATAGACTGATAAATGCAACACTGACGAGTCAGCTGGAACAGGAACCAGAGGGGAGCCTTTAATGGGAATATGATGTAAAACAGTATCCGTCTGGCCTTGAAAAGTGGAATGAAGTCACTGTCCAAGTTTCCCCTGGCTCTTGCAACGCCTGAATGGTTTTCCCCCATTAATGTTCCTTTGCAGATTACACTGTCAGAGTGCAGCAAGTACAGGAGCAGTGAAGTCGAGGCAAAAGGGTTCTAAGTTTGAAGGCCTTGTAGGCAAACCAGACACAAGTTATAAAACGTGATGAATAACTTATTAGCTGAATATAAATGATTGTTGCACAGACCCCACCTGAACCTGAAAAGGCATTCACAAAACAGCAGGGAAAATGTGTCCTCTACAAATAATACATGTTTGTGTTGGGATATACCCTGCTCTGGAGGAGGTTATTTTCCAGACTTCGAAATAGGACCCCCCCCACCCCACCACACACACACACACACACACACACACACACACAGAGTTAACCCTGAAGTTACGTGGATAGGATCAAATCCTACTTTGTACCTTAAGGGGTTGCAATAAAGGTTGTCGTCTAGTCATAATGTGTCCTTAAAAACACGATTTGTTCATGTTGATAATCTAGTGATTGTGATTATTAACAGTACAGAATATGGATAAAAGTTGGATATAGCGTGTCTGTAAGGCTCCAATTGGTCTCATTGTAAAGCATGGTGCTTTTGAACTCTTGCCATCTTGGTGTTTTGAAACTAGATGTTATGAACGAGCAGATCAGGTGGGGAATTCACATCCACATCCAGCATACGCTTGACAGTTCTTTTTTCTAAATCTTGGAATGACCAAAATTTACTAAATTTCAATAGCAACCACATGTATGGTTTCCTGGTAGTGTAGTAAATCTTGCCCTCACTGTTAATTTCTGCCATTTATGACTGACATGCAAAGACATGTGTGTATGGGTCATTTTATTTCTGCTTTGAAGCTCTCGATTACATAAACCAGCATCTTAACTCATACTCCTCTTTAATTCTTTCCAAGTGAAGATCTAACAAACACGCTGCTTTTATGTTGATTGCTCGAGCACTTTCTACCATCCTGTGGGCTCTTGACCATGTTAATTGGGAGTGTTTGAAGCGAGGCTTTCCAGCATAATCAGTGTTGAAACATAATACAAATAATTCCAATTAATGGACCAAAGCAAAGCTTCCCTTTGAGGTGTTGTGAAAGACACGCTTGTTTTCTCCTGCCTCTCAGGACTGCATAGTCATTCATTGACTTTATTTTTAGTGCTAAGCTGATATGAACACACCGTGCAAACACATCAAAAGATCATGAAAGATTGAGTGGCTCCTTTCAGGGTTTTAAAAACACGCTCCGTCTGCCCTCACCTTCGCTCCCCAACATCAGAATATAAACAAAAGGCTTGATGAGAATGAATTATGCATCACTGATCTGTTTTCTTTGTGTGGGTGTGTTTCATTTGAGGAGAATGATTGGCTGTGTAAGGTCAGACAGAAGAAGCGTGCTAGACAGTGGGTTTTGTAATGTAATCTAACTACTTTTTCATGGCTTATACACACACACACACTTGTTAAATGGACTGGTTCTTATATAGTGCTTTTCTACTCTATCTGAGCACTCAAAGCACTTTATACAACTTATTAATTCACCCAATCACACCAGCACTGTTTCTAAGCTGTTAGTGTCTATCTAACATTCATACATGCATCCACACTCCAATGGATGCATCGGAGAGCAACATGGGGTTAGTATCTTGCCCAAGGATGTTTGGCATGCAGACCAGGGGGAAGCCAGGAATCAAACCACCAACTTTCCAATCAGTGGATGACCTGCTCTACTGCCTGAGCTACAGCCACTATACACTATATTTATTTCTAAATAAATATATAGTAACATATTTAACCTCATACAACTAATAAAGTGCCAATGTCCACAGACCTTAAAGCAGTCCTAGAAGAGAAAGCTGAGCCTTTAATTTGGAAATAAAGCCCGTGAGGCTCAATCTGTGACCTGTGAAGAGATGGTGAAGGGTGTGGATGTGCCCTTAAGGTTCTAACTTTCCACTCTGGTTACTAGCTTCAGACAGTGGAAGGTCAATGGAAAACACCCTCCACTGAATGCCACAGACAATAAAAAGGAACAAGCATTTTAAGAGCTTATAGTGGTAAAAATGCCGTCTGTTAGGTTTAAGCGGGAACCTCTGTTGCCAAAAAATGAAGCTAACATGTAACAACACTTTAACAGTCACATGAGGCTGTCTTCAAAAGTAAAGCAATCCTCATCATCTTGTTAAGTGATGATGTAACAATCCCGTTTCTGGAACCAAACATCTGTTATGTTGGATGAAGCTCTCACCTTCTTAATGCAGTCGTTGGTCTCTCTGGGACATGAGCCCCAGAATCAGTTGTTATTTTAGGCCTCAGCACTATTTAAATATGTATGAATAGTGTATGAACACCAAATATTTTCTGCAAATTAAAGTGTAATGTCATTTGACAGCATCCATCTTTTATATATAGTCTATGGTTAGGTGCATAGTTTACCTTTTTTATTTGGGATAAGATTGCATGTATAATGTAAATGTGGTTAATTAGTTCGTAATGACCTGATGAGAATTAGCATTAAACTTCTGTTTAATATCTGCTGCCAAAAGCCATGCACAGTACACAGATGCTGGTGTGCTGTTGGTGTGAACTACCCAGGCTGTCCACAGGGTGGAAGTGTTTGCTAAAGCAACAAATACTGACATTTGTTGAGTGGAAACAGTATTGTTTTAAGGAAACAAACAAACAAAGAAATATGTAGTGTACAGCAATGGGTTTGTTAAGATGACTTCCGAGTTATTTGCTCCACTAGGTTCATAATCACAGCTCAGGGGTCAAGAGTTTCAAGTCTGTCACTTGCACACTGATTGGACCTCACAGCAGTGTCTCTCAGTTATTTCTCCAACATTCCTTATTACATCCAGATTAATTATCACTCTTTGCAAGGTATATTTATATAGTGAGCAAGCCTTTGACTCTGGCTTTAATTAAGATAAAGACATTTTATGATGAAACCTTACCTTTTAAAACGGCAGGTCTCTTTTGTCTAAAGCAGCACATAAAGTTGACTTTGCCCTGAAGAGGAACATGTGGCTGCGCTGTTTTTCCATGAGGATTAAATTGCCCTCTAGTATGAAA